CCAGCTACGTCCTTGTTTTAGAAGCTGTTCATTCAGAATAAAGTCAATTCAAGTCACTGCTGCAATAATCTTTAGGACCTTTAAAAATGGAATACAGCCTTCAGTTTTCAACTTGTGGTTGTCTGATAAACTAAAGAACTTTTCTGATCACTTTTTCATCAATTTAGTGCAGAATGGGCTATGCCTCGCGGGCTTTTTTTGAAATGATCAACAAAGAATCAACGATGATAGCTTTACTCGGAGCGGGATGTTCTGTGGTGTCAGAGAGAATTGCGGAGGACTCCAAGACCTGGAATCTTCTTATGGTATGTAGATGTTCTGTAACAGTATTCAGAAAGGCTGTGTGTGTTCATTGCGCGCACTTTTATTGCGTAACAATTAGCTTCAGCCTCACAGAAGCTTTGTACTACAATAGTCACTGATGGAGGATGCTGTTGATTTCCATCACAATCGGTATCATTATCACAGAATCCTTTACTGCTACTGTTGATAATAGTGTAACTGTTTTTGGCACTCTACTGTCAGCGCTGGCGTGTCTGTTTTTGTCACTGTCATTGTCACTCATAGCGTGACCGTTTTTTGTGCTGTCAGTGCTGGCGTGACTGTTTTTGTCCGTGTCATTGTCACTCATAGCGTGACTATTTTTTTGTGCCGTCAGTGCTGGCGTGACTTTTTTGTCACTGTCACTGCTGATATTAGTGTGACTGTTTTTGTCACTGTTGTTGTTGGTGTGAGTGGATTTTCTTGCTCTCACTGTCACTTTTGCTGTGTCCCTGTCACTAATGTCTTTGTTGTCACTTTTTCCTTAGCCTGATCTGAGTGTTTTGTTAGTAAAGAAAAGTGTGATGTAATAAACCGTAGCAGCGGAGTAGTGAAAAAACAAGAGAGGCTTGGGTCAGACTCAACTCGACTCAAGCCCCCCTCGTTCTCGATATGTCGCTAATTTCGCGTCGTTTTCAACAATGCTGCTCCGTTTCACTCACTGATTTGCTTGCAGGAGGCGACTCTGTTGACGTAACTGTCAATACCACTGATATACTCATCGTACAATAGAGAACTTTGTCCTTTAAAGAGATTTGTAATTAATATTCGCGAGAAGGTTAATCAGGGATTGGATTGACTCGAGAAACCAAGGACGTTTTAAAAGATAGTTCAAAGAAGGTGGCAATATAGTATTTTTCAAAGCAACTTCCAACTACGGAGGTATTCAACTGATGACTTTATCCAATATTGACAATATTTTCGACGATCAGCTTTTCCGGCGAAAATTGTCCCCGAGCCAACAATTTGCGACTTACAAACAAATACAGACAACTGATACCGCCCTGAAACCTTTGAAATTCTGAGCACGTACAAGCAAAAACTCCTTACATTCTTATGCCAAAATAGGGTTACAGTGGAACCTCGATTTAACGAACCTGTATATAACGAACGATACTTCAGTTTCAGCCCGGCTAAAGTTACAGTAAAATGTGTGCCTCAGATCCGCGATATAACGAACCCTCGATATAACGAACCAATTTCCTCAATCCCTTGGCACTTCGTTAAATCGAGGTTCCTCTGTCAAAACTTTCCAATCTTTCAATTTCGTATCGACGAACGAAAGTTAAACAGGATATTTGCATGTGAAAAAGATTTTTGGGCGCTGTTTATTTGCGTAAGTGAATGTAGATTGGAGGCCAGTCTGTTTCGAGTTGCAATACAATTTGCGTCAAACCTAACATGATTTGCACGCTCTAAGTTTAAGAGCGAACTGATGAGGAACTTTCTTACTTTCTTATTGTGACATCTAACGTATGCCTTATTGACCTTATTTACAAGTTTTCTGTGACATGAAAGTTTTACAGTAGATGAAAGACGCTAGCTGGGCGCAAAAATATGTTTCAAAATGTGATCACTTCCTAATGAAATATTAATTAACACTAATCTTGTTTAGCAGATCGCCATACAATACGACCCAAACGAAACGTCAGCAATACCTGACTAAAAATTTTGGTAGAACCCTACATTAATTTTTATATGGATTGAGTGCTGGGGTGCTAAAATGCATCTCAAAAACTCGTCGTTTATCAGTCTGCATTGATCGTCGATGAATCAAAATGTCTTTCGTGCGGTTGTGGGTGAAGTTATTGTTTTGGTTAATAGTGGCAACAAAAGTGAGTCTATTATTTTGCCGGTTTTCTTTTTCTAGAATAATAATTGTCACGAACAGGTGTCGAAATCAGAAGCTAGCACAAGGGTTTGTGTTTGGTAACACATTAACAAAGGATCACTGTATTTTGTTCTCTAAGTTTTGTTCATTCTGGGTTTAGATAAAAGAGGTTCAAATTTTATATAGTGCTCCCATAAAAAACATCTCGGTGATATCAATGTTTACTCAGTAACACGCAAATCTCAGAGACAGGAGATTACGTTACCGAATCAGTCTTTTAAAAACCCATCCTCAAGCTCACGTGTTTCGAAGCGGAAATCAATTCGCACCAATCAGAGATTTAAATTCTTGGAAACATTAATTTCCGAGCAAATAATTTTGAAATACTACATCTTTGAAGTGTCCCAAATAATTTACTTGCAAGTCAAGTTTTCAAACGCGAAGGCTGAGTGATGTCCGACAACTGAGTATTACTCCTTGACGACTGTTTGCTTAGACGAATTTGGTCAGCAGAAAAAGAGACACAATCTGTGGCAGCTGGATTCAAGGAGAGGAGGAAATATGTGGAGTAAAATGCACAATTCAAGCACGCCGACTTCTTTACCACCGACAGCGTGTTACCATCTTCACCCGTTGGTGATTAATACCGTGCGTTATGAGCCAGACAACAAAACCAGTGCTGTGACTGTATTTACCTGTGCATTTATGGCATTGGCATGTCCTTGTGCAATTGTCGCAAATGTCATGGTCTTCCTTGGTGTTTTGAGAAAACCGGAGCTACGAAACATTTACAATACTTCCATTCTATTTCTCGCTACCTCCGATTTGTTAACTGGCCTGATAACGCATCCTTCGTTCATTGCATATCAAGGAAGCAAGTTGACGAAACCCGAGCAAGATTTCTCCTGTATCGCTCTGGTCATATATTCGTACACAAATTTTATGTTCACTGGCTTGTCTGTGATAACAATAATTCTTATGACATTGGAAAGATATCTAGCCATATTTCAACCTTACAAATATCAAGCCTTCGTTACCAAGCGCCGTCTCGTTACAACAATTTCTCTCGTTTGGGTCATATGGGTCACATTTATAACACTCGTACGATTTTCTCCGGGAGCGCGCTCGGGTTTATTTGGTGTTATAGCCGGGGTATTATTAGTACCTTGTATTTTACTGACAATGTTTGTGTACTGTAAAGTTTACTGTCTAACTCGACGGATTCGTGTGTCAATAGGTCATGAGTTAACAACGCCAAGAAACGCCGCGGATATTCAAGAGACGAAATCGTCAAGAACAGTTGCTTACTTAGCTGGCGCGGTTGTGGTTTGTTTCTTGCCGACAATTGCAGTCATAATAATTCAGGAGACAAACGCGATTGATGCGAATTATTTCTTTCACTTGCTGTATCCTCTCACTGAATCGGCTGTCCTGTTGACGCCCGTATTTGACCCTGTTATTTACATGCTCCGAAGTAGCAAATTGAAAGCAAGTCTCCGCGAGTTGTTGCGAGACCGAGTGTTGTATACACAGCCGACCAGCAGAACAAGGGCGACTACTTTATCAACGGGATTAAACTTGGAGATGACAGTGCGATCATAAAACATGACACAATATATGTTTAATCAGGAGCACAAAGTATTTTTAAAGCAAGAGGAGAAATCGATGTTATTTTTTCTTCCTTGGAAGGTCTCTGTACGGACGAGATTGGTTTAGGTGGAAGTCACGCCTTGCAGAACTTCGTAACAAATTAAGCAAATTTATTATGTCAAATTGTGGCGGAATCTTTAAACTAATGTGTTGTGTAGCAGTTCACGCAGATCTGGAGAATTGTTTTGATTGTTAAATGCTAATGATCTAAGCTTTCTTCTACTTTTAATTTCAAGCTATCTACACTCGTCTTTTAAGCAGATATTAGCTAAACTGCGAGATTCCTTTCTTAATTTAGGAGATGAAAACCCTTACATTAATGAGTTAAGCGGATTTAAGAAGTCTACGTCAAAGTTTAATCAAAACGAATCAACTTTACCGAAAATTGCGCAGTTGTTATGGTAAATGGTTCTTGTTTGCATGTCGTTTCGTTTTAATATTTCATCAGTTATTTGCACTCTGCAAGGTATAGCGACTGTTATGTGAAAGATCGTTTCTTCTTCAAATCGATGCCTTCTTTTAACTCAACCTTCTTTTAGATTTCTCTCACGGAAGTATAAATTGTGTCTGAGAACAAAATAAGTTAAATAACACGTTGAATAAATTAGGGACGCCTAAAAAATACACAAGTATTGTTTATACGAACATTGTACGTAAGTTATTGATTCACAACAAATTCATCATTGTCTAGATTAAGAAAGCTGCATGATACCTGGTTCTCTGACTTTGAGCTTTTCATTTAACAAATAGTTGCATTACCCTTCAAACTACTCAAAGAAAATTACAAAGAGATCCGGAAGAATAATCACATATCATATTAAGTGCTCAAGCTATCCCTGATCAAATTGCATTAGCTATTAATTTTAACGATGCCCAGCCGTTAAAGGATTGTAATTTTGTTCACACGATTATATCAGCATGATTTTAATTAACGTTTTGTGACTTTTATAGATAATGTTCTTTAACAATTACAAATTGGGAGTGCAAAGACAAGTTTGGCCCATCCTTATCTTAGGTGAGACGCTAAGTACGTGCTCCCTCATTTGCAACTCTTTCCCGATTTCCATTACAACAGGCTTGACTCACTGTCCGATATTTTCAATTGAAAAGTTGCGTGAACAAAAGTTTAGGCTTCAAAACAATGATGAAGCGGAACTGATATCAATTCGTTCCCTTCAGATGCACTTTCGACTCAACTGAGACTTTGCGGCGGATAAAATAAACAAACAAGCTGAGACGTACGTTTATGCTCTCCAATAAGAGTATACTAAAAATGATGTTCGTAGATTTGCTGTTATCTTACACCTTTTCGGAAAGGGAAACTTAATAGGTGATTATAAAGTAGGTATTCTTTAAGGAAATACACAAAACTTTTGATGAAATCGAAATAAAAGCTGAAAAACGGAAGATATTAATTTGTGTTAAGTGGTAAAAGAAGAAGAGGCAATTAGACTTTGTCTAGTGCGCGTTTAGGAAGAACCAGACAGGAGGCGATGAAAGGAAATTAAAAAGGCAATGTAGTTGATTTCTCAGCAAGTGCATGCTGAAATAAAATTAAGGGGTAACTATTCTACAAGCTCAAATGAGCATTTTTAGTTCTAGAATCTCGAGTTCTTTATTAAACGGAGTCGTTCAGTCGCGGTTTCCATTTGTAGACGACGCCGATTTTGGTGATTTCACGTTGTTGTTTTGCAAGAGGACGGCTGAGAAATGTACAAAGTTTTAAAACGCACGTGCTGGCTATTATTCTGCCCATTAGATCTTTTGTTTTGACACGTTCTCGTTGCCGTCGCCGTTGTGGTTTGCTTAAATTCCCCAATATATAATGATCGAGGCGTTAAAGAGTTAGATACCACTTTTACGTGTGAAGGTTTACCTCCTGTCAGCTTTAGCGCTTTATCCGAGAAATATTGGCATTTTGTTTAAATTTTGCCATAGCCACATGAAACGTTGTCATTAATATGGACTTTAGTTCAAGGTGCTGAGACCAATCTATAATTAATATTATTGAAAAAGAAACTGATTGCACTAGAGGGAATTTGATCAATGAAATTGTTTCATCACCATAATGTCGACGTTGTTCAGAAGAGTACTTTTTTTTCCTTTTTTTAAACGATATTAAATATTGATCAAGCTGATTGGAAGCCCTATCAGCTGGTGTACTTTAATCTTTCTCAAAATTAAACTTTCCTCTTTACATTAATTCAGAAATGATGAAATAATTCTTTAGAATGCGTCCGTATGCGATAAGGAAAGGCATTTATCAAACAGATGCCAATTCTCTTCAGCCCGATTTTCTAACAATTTTTCGAAAAGATTTGTATTGTCTAATTTAAGCAAAGTCTACATCATATGAATTCCATTGTGATTATTTTCCTCGATTGATTGTTAGAAAAGTCTTCGAATATTGTCTATTTTGGTCGAATTTTAGTTTAGGACACTTATTTATTGAAAGTCCTCTTATTTTTTGTCTTTTCTCGGGTTGGTTTGGGGACTCCAAGTCTCCTGCACTTCCGTTTTAAGCGATGCCACGCAACGCCCCCCCCCCCACACGAATCAGGGGAGGGGAGCAATGTGTGACATCCTACAGAACGCGACTCTGGGAATCCAGTCCTCACGCGGTGATCAAGTATTTCTTTGTCCCACGCCCGAGACAACAGTCTCACATTTTTTTTCCAAGTTACATCGAATTGCAAAAGTTCTGATCGTGTCGTCTAATCGTTCAGGTGAAAGTAGTGTTCAACTTGAGAAGGACTGTTGCCGATAGCAGTGACTGACCTTTCAGCAGCTTAGCGGAAGTCTTTATTAGATCTGACTTAGCATTAGACAGATTTAGCACCGCGTTTACGTGGAACGACAAACGTCCGCTTGCCCTTTCACGTTTCCCGTAAAATAGTGTGAATCTTGCTGCCTTAGACTCGCGTGACCTTATGTCATGGTGGATTTGTATGACTTACAAAGAATAGTTTTGGTACCCTTTTTCCGGCAATTGAGAAAAAGTGAAGAAAATCTTAGGTACACGACAAACGGGAAAAATGTTATACTTTCACGTAGAAAAGGCAAAGCGCAACCGGCAAAGGGTGAATAATGGCGGGAAAAACGTGGTCACGCCATTCACGTTTCTCGTAAACGCGGTGCTAAATCTCTCTATTAATGATGACTTACGCTCAGTTTGTCGAGGAGTCAATCACCAACAATAGTCCTTCCCAGGACTACTCTCACCCTAACGACCAGACCACACCATTAACTGTTACTGTTTTACTCTCTTCACACACAGGTATCCTACGGATCAACGTCTCCGACCTTATCAAAGAAAGAGAAATATCCCATGTTCTTTAGAACAATACCATCCGACGCTGCGTGCAATAAGGCTCGAGTGGCCCTTCTGAGAAAATTCAACTGGTTAAAAGTTGGATTGATAGCGCAGAATGATATTATCAACTCTGAGGTAAGACCATTTCTTCTTGTAGCCGTAGGAATTGGGGCTAACTGGAAACTGGGCAAAGCAAAGACGATTCAATAACTCTTTTTCTTGGTAAGAACAAACGTCAGCTTGCCGTTTCACGTTTCATGTAAAAGAGCGTGAACCTTGCTGCTTTAACTTCACGTGACCTCACGTCAAGGTGGATTTGAAGGCGCCCTTGTATGACTTACAAGGAATAATTTTGGTGCCCTTTTTTCAGCCATTAACTTCTACTCTGTGAGAGAAAAAGGAAAGAAAATCTTACGTACACGGAAAACGCGGAACAGGTTACTTTCACGTAGAAACGGCAAAGCGCAACCGGCAGACATGAAAAAATGGCGAGAAGAACAAGGTGACGTGGTCATTCTTGCCGTTCGCGTTTCACGTAAACGCGCTGCTAAATCTCTCTTTTACCGAACAGATACACAGCAATATAGCATCTACTTGCTTTACACGATGAAAAAACCAAAGGTTGTTAATGGTGACGTCATCTATGCGTCTGTCCTGCAATAGATCATGGGTTAGAACCAATCAAAAAACTTGTAGGATTCAGCTTATCATATAGTCTGTAATAGTCCATGTTTTAATCTTTACAGCAAATTTCCTGTGCGAAGGAATATTTAACAAATGGTGAACACCAGATCGTACACTATTGAGCTATGGAGTGCTTAACAAACCTCCCAAGTGCATCCATAACGCAATAGTGTACGCTGTGGTGTTAACCATTCGTTTTATATATAACATAACATTGATACATTGAAGCAAAAGAGTTCCCTTTTGTTTAACAAATCTTAAATGACCAGATAAAACAAGCGCTCGAAAACTAGTTTTTGCATTTGCTCACCTTAGCGGCATATACTCATGGGAAAATGGTGGACACTGAATTGACCAATCAGTGAGCGTGCTTTCTTTCGTCATGTTATAACAGTCAGTGACAATAAGTTACATTTCGATAGCTTGATCAGAAGTCATTATCAGATTGTAAAGACGACTTCTGATTCAGCAGACTGAGATGGTGACTTCCGCTCAGGGTGTCGCAACGTCAGTCATTGTCTCCGAGATAACGTTGATTATCAGTTAGGACGACTATCACCATGACGAAGCCACTACTTGATCATTTACAATTTTTCTTAGACTACTACTGACTTACAAGAAGAATTGGCAAACGCGAATATTCAAATCCTTACCTCAGAGACCTTTGTGGATGATCCCGCAGCCCAAGTGAAGAGCTTATTGGTAACTAGACAATTAACTGTTATTAAATACAAGTTAACAACTGCACGAGGACGTATTTAATTTTATTTAATGATTTACATATGTTGGTCAACATACCTTTGCCAATTACGTTGTGCAACTTTCATTTGATATGCACGCGAGGTTTTGTGACATCCAGTAGAAAGTTTTCCCGAAACGTTTGCCACTTCAATGCTTATACTAGGAAGACGTCTAGCCAAGCTCCTTATTTTGCTTTTGTTGATCCATCTAGGAGAAAGAAGTCAGGATAATTCTTGGAAATTTTGATGAGAAAAGCGCAAGAAAGGTCTTTTGCCTGGTAACTCGATCACAGAAATCTTACAATTCTTATTCCTCTCCTGTGGTCAACTTTCAATTTTCTTCATTTGGTATTCTGAACTATAGATAAATCAATTTATTATCAATTTATTTATTTATTTATTTTTCTTTTAATTTGTTTACATAAGTTTTCTCTCTTATCATATCTGAAATTTTTCTTTATTTAGTATACATATTTACCTCCCTCTATATTATAAAATCTTACAATTCTTATTCCTCTCCTGTCGTCATCTTTCAATTTTCTTCATTTGGTATTCTGAACTATAGATAAATCAATTTATTACACAAAAGTCTCGTTGGAGAATATTTCTCCTTTTGATATCCCGAGTCATGAAAATCTAAGTCTTTATATCAAAGACGAAAATAGATATTCAAAATGATTGTTAGGCACAACTGAGGTGAAAACAAACCCTTTAGCATCGAAGAGGGCCTAGGATCGAGATGATTTTATCGGATTACAAAGAAATATAAACTGAGTTTTTCATGATAAAAAAAAACTTGAAGTTTTACTCTTTAAGTTTTCCTTTTGACTTCCTCCAGGCGTTTCAAAACAAGATGTATGGTGCCCGCTATGCTTGGCTTATACCAGGCTGGTTTAGTGCGAACTGGTGGGAGAAACATTTAGATGAAGAGTCTATAGGATGCACCGTAGAGCAGATGAATAAAGCTGTAAATAGATACATCTCCTGCGACAACCTAAAGATTAATCCAGACAAAACGACTATAACAGAATCTGGACAGGTATCAAAATTCATTTTAGCTTTATTTTGCGATTTTTTAATTTCGTCACACGCAAAGCCGAAATGACACTCGTTCAGCATGGCTGTAGCAAAAGATTATCACGGGGGTGGGACGAGATGAGGAACTACCCGCTCGCCCCTCGTTTTACTCCGGTCTTGTCCAGCTCAGAGGGTGTGGTAATAATCTTTGTCTCTTCATGCCACGAGGCGCAAGACTGATAATCTGATTCTATCCCTTTTTATTTTGTTCACAGTCTCCTAGGCAGCTAAGTTCTCGATACCAAAACACCACTGGTAAGGTCTTATGGGAGACTGATGGTGGGTTTGCATACGACGCGGTCTGGGCGATCGCACTGGCACTGAAAAGGACAGAGGAACACCTCAGAAGATTAAAACCCTCCCTTTCCATAGCTAACTTCACTTATGTTAATAAAGATATCATGGAGCAGTTCAAGGGTTATTTGAATAAAACCAAGTTCCAAGGCGTCACAGTAAGTACAAAGTTTTCTTGAAGATTTTTACTCTCACGGAGAACCATGATGGACAGGTGCAGTGAATTTTGGAGGAAAAATTGGGAGAGATTTTTGTCCTCCTAGCTGATCCAAAAAGGTAACATTTTTGCGCTGTAATCCTTTACAATACTAAGAGCCACAGGTACATCTCTGAGCGTTTCTGTCAGTTTGTCTTGACACTCTATCGGTACCTTTAGCTGGGTAGAAGCACGACCAAGAACATGGCACAGAGATCGTAGATTAAAGCTTGTTAACACCCCTTTAATTTGATAAGTAATACAACGACATCAGTTCATCATCTCGCATGTGTGATCCCTATATTTTTTATTCATTTTAAGGGACCAGTACAATTTACATCCAAAGGTGATCGGATGGGTTACATGAAGATTCAACAACTGCAAGGTTAGAAAAGGAATTAAAGCAATAACGTACCTTAATATTCTATGTGCTTGTACGTAATGACTCAATAGATATACAACCAACGATGTGTATAACAGTATGCAACGGTAATAAGGTTCAAAACTATCCTCCGTTAAACTGGCAACCAAGAAACTAGGAAAGGTGACTATTTTAGCACCAATTCCCTCGCTTCGAGTCAACTGCGATTGGTGTCTTTTCCGTGAGGAAGACAAATTCAGATCGAAGAAAACGATTTCAGATCGAAAATGCCTTGTTCTTACCAATCTTTCTGAAACTATCAAGAGTGTCTGAGAGCTTTGTTTACGTATCTGGTAACAAGGTGAAGAAATTCTGTCACCTCTTGTACAGGCACTCAGTAGACCTAACCTGAAATTATTTTCTTAAGTAAATATTTTTATTTGTATTCCTTAAGATTGGAAGGAAAGTACTGTCTCTTTATATCTGCAACAAAATGATAGTATTCTTGACGTCCCTGCATCTAGATTTATCTGGCAAGGTAGGTCAACTAATGATAAAGATGATAGTGACGATGACAATAATAATTTTGACGCGACTATAACAATGACGAAGACAATCTAGGTGATGAAGACAGCTTAGGTGACGAAGAAAATCTAGGCGACGAGGAAAATCCAGGTGATGAAGACAATCTATGTGATAACGACAATCTAGGCGACCAAGACAATCTAGAGGACGAAGACAATCTAGGAGACGAAGACAATCTAGGTGACGTTGACAAAGATGACAATGAGGATAATGTTGATGAAGGTGATGGTGACGATGGCGACAATGAAAATGACGATAATGATAACGATGACAGTGACGGGACAGAAATGATCATGATGACTATTCCAATAAAGATGACGATGACACTGACAAAGATTATGACATGATGATGACGATGATCTTTAACGATGACGATGACGATTTTGATTATGATTATAACAACGATGACGATAAAGATGGTAATCAAGTATGTAATCGTTTAATATTATATTAACGAAATTACGTGTTGTTGTTTTTGTTTCTAAGGCGCTGGTCCACCGTCTGATAGTGCCAAGCTAAAATCAAAGCCAATGACCATATCTCCAGTACTGTATGGAGTTGTGTGTGCAATCACTGTTCTCTGTATTATCTTGGCAGTTTGCTTCTTGGTTTTTAACATCAAACTTCGGAATTACAGGTAGCTAGGAGATTTTTATTCTCTTAGCAGACCCAAATTTAGTTAAGATCTCCAACTCGTCAGTTCCTTATCTCTGCATTCAATTTTGCTGACAGATACATTCAGATGTCAAGCCCTCGTCTTAATGACACCATTGTTATAGGATGTATCACCATGTATATATCCGTATTTATGTTTGGATTGGATGGTAACCTGATATCAGCCGATCAATATTCCACCAACTGTCAGGTAAGATCCATAAATTATTATTATCAACTGTTGTCATGTAAAACGAATGGTCTTCAAAATGTAATCATAAAGAAATGGAGCAGTTTTCAATCGAGTGTCGTAAACAAAAGCAAAGTCATCACCACAACCAATCAGAAAAAAGGTTAACGTCATCATTAACCAATGGGAACTCAAAGTAAAAACAGGCAACCTGTTGAAGCGCGAAAATGCGAGTGACTTAATTGCGACTGGTTCTAGTTTTGCATTTGATTGGTTGAGATGGGGCATGAGCTTCCTGGACCAGTCATTGGGACTGATTTAAATTTTGCATTTGATTGGTTGAGACGAGGCACGACTTTCTTCGACCAATCACGGAGCAAAGTTAATAAGCAAAACCTAAGCAATTGAAAAACTCTCTTCATCTTTTTACTTCAGGCAAGAATATGGCTGACTTCGCTTGGCTTCACCACCGCATTTGGCGCAATGTTTGCCAAATTATGGAGGGTTTACGTCATATTCACCAACCGTAAATTACGGAAAAAGGTAAGGAAACGATTTGTTCCCTCTCCGACGGGTATTAAATTTTTTGACTGATCAGTTATATTTCTTTTCCAAACCATTAACGTAGAAAAAGTTTTTCTAAGGACTGCACCAAATTCCAAATTAAGTTCCCCACCTCCCTCCATCTGCTAGAGCCTCCTGTGAAGACGGAAAAACTGAAGGGCTATTACTAGATGATTGTTCATTGATTTACGGTGAAATCAAAATTACCGTATTCACTTGAATACACGCCGCATCGAAAACACTAATAAAGGCCGTAAAGTTTGATAGTTAAGATAGTAATCACAAGGACAGATGTGATCTGTTCATTGATATATCTATTCGTTGATTGGTTAGTTGGCTGATCAATTGATTGATTGACTTATTGACTGACTGACTAACAACTGATTGATTGATTGATCGATCGATGACTATTTCATTAAAAGGTTATTAAAGATGGAAAACTTTTCATGTTTGTTGGCGCTCTGCTGTTGGTCGATGTTTTAACCCTAAGTGTTTGGAGTGGAGTCGACCATCTGACAAGAAAGCTACAAAACGGCACCATTGAGGTACGGAAAATGATATTTAAGTATCTTGCCTCTTTAGGAAGCGATCGAGTTGTAATCGAGACGCTCTGTTTCCCTGCTTGTCAAGAATTCCTTTGCCAGACGAAAATCATCAAACTTCACTTATTCACAGATCCATCTGGGTCAGGAGGGTCAGGAGGTGGGGTGGGGCCTCGGACCCCATCTCCAATGGACCTATGGGTTTTTCTTTCACTAATCGCCTGACATCAAAATTCTTGAAACGACAAGATCGCATGTTGCAACTCAAGAGGACGTGTTTAGAATTTACCGTCTTGAAATATTTCTTAGCTCAGTTAGGCTCTTCTGTTGAAAAAAAACCTTTGTTTTCTCAATAAAAAGTTTGACCCTTTCTATGAAAAAACTCCAGGATCCGCCCCCTTTAATTTAACTTACCAAAATAAGAAAAAAGGCGTAATAAGACACTCCTCTCAAATCATGACAGAGCTGAAAGAGTCAAACATGAATTAAGTGATACGAACTTGATTCTTCTTACCCCTGAAAAAAAATGTTCTACAACAGTTAGTTTACCTACAAGTTTTAAGTCTTCCCCTACTTTGTGTAAAACTTTTGGATTAACTCTTTTGTAGCATGGAATGGAGTATGACACATTGCCTTATTGGGAATATTGTGACTGCCAGCACAAGGCGATATGGTTTGGCGTTTTATTTGCCACTAAGGGTCTGCTTCTTTTGTTTGGAGTGTTCCTCGCGTGGGAGACTCGGCACGTGAAAATTCCCGCCCTAAACGACTCACGCTATGTTGGAATGTCTGTGTACAATGTTGTCATCTTGAGTGTGGTTGGTGTCCCTGCTGCACTGATGATTGAACAAGCGCAAGACATTTCCTTTGCTCTTACAGCTTTCTTCGTTATCTTCACAACCACAGTGACACTGTGTTTGGTATTTGTTCCAAAGGTGAGGGATGCTATAAGTTGCTCCATTAGAATTATTAACACGACACCCCAGGCCGGCTTTCATGATGACACACTGTCAGGCACAAACCTTCTACTGCGCAGGGGCAGTAACCACTTTCTAGCCCAAGGATCACGTTCTTTTTATCATTATTATGAACACGAGGATCTTCCGACGAACTTTTCGACAACTGATCCGCCGACTACTGTCCTCGTTTTCGCACCGCTAGACTAAAGAACACTTAAAAGATTCATACATACATATATACATAGGTTACTTGACCACTCCCCATGGGGGCTTTTCAGGGCCAATTCCCACCCATCCCACCCCAGG